TTTCCTCCTAAAGTATATATTGTTTATTGAGCTTTTACTATATACACTAAGCACTATACTAACAATCTTTTTAAAAGTGTGACCTCATAGCTGAGGAGGCTGAGGCAGGAGAATCACAAGTTCAAAGCCAGCCTCAGCAAGACTCTCTCAAAACAAAAAATAAAAATAAAAAGGGCTGGGGATGTGGTTTACTGGTTAAGTGTGCATAGGTTCAATCCCTAGTATCCCCCCAAAAAGTAATAAATAAAAGTTTGATCTCACTAGGAATGTAGCTAAGAGGTAGAGAGCACTTGCCTAATGATATGTGAGGCCTTGGGTTCAATCTCTAGCATCACAAGGAAAAAAAGAAAAGAAAAAAGTGGCACCTCATTTAATTCCCAAAACTACCTGTGTGACAGGTTCTATTGTTATTCCTGTTTTATAGAAGAGAAAACTGTAATATTTTTATTGATTGTGTCAAAATGTTTACTGCTGAGACAGATAGTTCTATATCTTTAAGAGCTTAACTAGTACTCTATTGTATAGTTATATTTTCATTGTTCCTTTTTGTTGAACTTTTATATTATTTTCAGTTATATGCTGTTATAAATAATTTATTGCAATTAGTAGCCTTGTGCATTTTTTTTCCCCCCTCAAAACTAATTCCTGGGGCTGGGGTTGTGGCTCAGTGGTAAAGCACTTGCCTAGCATGTGCAAGGTGCTGGGTTCCATCCTCAGCACCACATAAAAATAAATAAATAAAATAAAGGTATTGTGTCCAACTACAACTAAAAAAAAAAATGTTTAAAAAAATAAATAAATAAAAGTTAGGCTGGGTGCCATGGCATACACCTATAATCCCAGCAGCTTGGGAAGCTGAGGCTGGAGGATTGGGAGTTCAAAGTCAGCCTCAGCAATTTAGCAAGGCACTTAGCAACTCAGTGAGATCCTGTCTCTAAATTAAAAAAAAAAAAGGATGGGGCTGGGGTTGTGGCTCAGTGGTAGCGTGCTTGCCTCGCTCTGAGAGGCACTGGATTCTATCATCAGCACCACATATAAATAAATAAACAAAATAAAGATATTGTGTCCATCTACAACTAAAAAGGGGGTGGCTGGGAATATGGCTCAGTGGTTAAGTGATTTTTTTGGATTGGGTTCAATCCGAAAAAAAAAAGAACAATAAAAAAACCCCAAAATTACCTAAATAAATTTAAAAAATAAGAAGTTACACTAATAGTGAACCTGCTTTAAAAAAAATATATAATTGGACTGGGATCACCGCTCAGTGGTAGAGCGCTTGTCTAGCATGTGTGAGGCACTGGGTTTGATTTTCAGCACTGCATATAAATAAATGAATAAAATTAAGGTTCATCAACATTTAAAAAATATTTTTATAAAAGTACAATAATTATTATTATTATTTTATACTGGGGGGTTAAACTCAGGGGCATTTAACCACTGAACCACATTTCCAGCCCATTTTTTGTTTTGTTTTTTTTGTTTTTTGTTTTCAGGGGGGCGAGTACTGTGGGGATTGAACTCAGGAGCACTCAACCACTGAGCCGCTTCCCCAGCCCTATTTTGTATTGTATTTAGAGTCAAGGTCTCACCGAAATGCTTTAGCACCTTGACATTCCTGAGGCTGGCTTTGAACTCATCCTCCTGCCTCAGCCTCCTGAGCCGCTGGGATTCAGGTGTGCACCATTGAACCTGGTCTGTTTTGTTTTGTTTGGTTGAGACAAAGTCTTGATAAGTTGCTTAGGGATCTTGCAGGGTTGCTAAGGCTGGCCTCAAACTTTCTTTTTTATTTAGTTTTTTGTTCTTATTTTTCTGTGCTGCTAAGAATCAAACCCAGTGCCTCACACGTTAGGCAAGCATTCTACCACTGAGCTACAACATCAGCCTTGGCCTCCTATTTCAATCCTCCTATTTCAGCTTCCTGGCCTTCTGAGACGCTGGGATTACAGCTATGTGACACTGTGCCTGACTGTAAAATTAATTTCAAGAAGTAGAATTCTTGTGCCAGACTTTCTTAAGGCTTTTGATACACATTGTGAAATTACTTTTTAGAAAGATTATACCAATTTATCTTGCCCTACATGGTGTGAGTGCCTGTTTCTCTGAATATTTATGACCACCATATGGTACTTCTTCATTATACACCTTTTCTTTGAGGTCAGTGTACCAGGCGTGTACTGCAGTGAGCAGTGGTCCCTGCCTTCGTGAAGCTTGTAGACTTTTTAGTAATGATGTAATCTTTACCAGTTTAATAGGCAACTAATGATACTCTGTTTTAGCATGCATTCTTTTTTAATACTATGTATATTTTGTTTGTATTGGTGATTATTTGATTTCTTTTGTGAAGTATTGGCTATGTTCTTTGCTTATTTTCTTGTTGATTTTTAAGTTGTCATTATATGGTAAAGCTCCATAGGTAGGATATTACCTTTGTGTTTATCATATATTACATTTGTCCCAGATATCTTTTCCTCCCAGTTTGTCATCTGCCTATATTCCTAAATAAATAATTTGTAATAAGTAATTCTGTCAGTCTTTTCCGATATTTTAGTTGTCATGTTTAGAAGGTCCTTCCACTTACCTATTTTCTCCATACAGTACATATATGGTTTTGTTTTTAACACTTAAATTTTATTTATTTATTTTTTAGTTTTTCAGTAGAGACAACATCTTTGTTTGTATGTGGTACTGAGGATCGAACCCAGGCCACAGGCATGCCAGGCGAGCGTGCTACCGCTTAAGCCACATCACCAGCCCTACACTTAAATTTTATAATTCAACTAGGAATTTAACTTTATAAACAGTTGTTATCCACTGTGTATTTAGTAATCTATCTATTCTGCACTGAAGAAATATATTTTTATTCTTCAAGTACTGGGTATTGAACCCAGAGCCTCATTACAGCAAACTCTCTATCACTGAGCCATAGTCCCAGCCTTGTTTTTTTTTTTTTTAATAGCTTTATTTTATTCATTGTATTTTATGTGGTGCTGATGTTTGAATCCAGGGCCTCACATGTGCTAGGCAAGCATTCTACCACTGAGCCACAACTCAGCCTCTCCAGCCTTTATTATTACCATTTTATTTTAGTTGTACTGGGGTTTAATCCCAGGAGCACTTTCTTTGTTACTTAGCTACATCCTCACTCCTTTTTATTTTGAGAAAGGGTCTTGCCTTGAACTG